CTTTCCACACAGAGGAATTACACGACATCATTGTTATTCGCACTTACAACAATTTTTCAGTGAGCACCTGAAAAGTCGAGTTTTTTCTTTAATTTTTCTCAGTGCCACACTTCCGTTCTTTTAATGTGTCAAGTGTGTCTTCTGACATTGTTTCTTTTGCTTCTCTTTCTCACCCCTTCGATTAAAAGCATTAAAAATGCCTTTTGGTCCCCTAGTATTAATTCCTTTGAGAGTTTTTGTAAAGTTCCTGTTTGATAATTATGCAAACATATGTTGTTTTGTCAGGTCCCTATTATTTTATATGAAAGCAAGCAGTTACAGTTAGCACTTTCAGTGAAAGGTTAACATAGGTCATAACTCAATAGCTTTAAAATGAGTAGAAATATCAGTGACACTCCTTAGAACAAAGATAGTTATCCCTTTTCAGGTAAAAGGATTTAGACTTGTGAGATTCCTAGTTCTGAACCTTTTCCATGTAAAAATAGATAATACATCTTTTTTTGTTTCCAATGTGAATGAAAGACACTTTGGGCAGACAGAGGAAAGTGAAATGACAGTATGGCAAGGCATGCAGCAAACTAAATCCATTCCTGTCTTAATACCATTCAGGGATTTGGATACTGCATGACCACCAGGTTCAGTTTAGGCCAGGGATTTCTTAGGTTGGATACAATCTGATAAATCCCCTTCTGACCTCATTGACTTCTGTTGTCACCCCACTTCCTGCTTCAGTTCGCGATGTGCCGAATATCCGGCTGGTAACAACAGTGTGGAACCTGGTTAATAGCATGATCTGACCAGTTTGAACTAATGCATACAAAATCTAGGGTCTGTTCTTTTCAAATTAAATCATATATATTTCACTCTCAACTGACCAGGTACTATTTAGGAAACCAAGGCAAGCATCCTCATTTTCCCCAACTTTGGTGTCCCAAGACAACACCTGAAGAATAGTAACTGTCTTCTTACAAATGTATTGTCTTTTTTTCCCCTTGCCAAATGATGAATGGATTAAGATTCTGAAGTCCCCCATAACCATGTTTTCTTCCTTGGAACCCTCTCTAACCCTACAATATTGGTGTATGACAACATATAGCCACTTTCTTGGCCTGAAAAGTCACTGAAAAGATACAACTGCCGCATCTCTTTGTCCAAAGGAATGCCTATAGCTGTCTACAAAAGAAATCTTTACCATACGCCAATATGTAATAAACTCAATACTTTCCTCTTCACTTTCTCATTCCAAGGCTGTGTGAACCCTACAAGGTCAAACTCCTCATAAAGTCACTACCTTTCTCTACTGTGTGGCTACAGTGCCACTCCTAGCAAATGGTGAGGAACGCAATAATTTATGAATGTAGTGGGTTTGTGCCTATGTCTATGGCTGTTTGCTATGAATTTAACACAAAAAAACCCAACCTCATTCCTTATAATTAGAGGTATTTCTGGAATTATATATAATCTTATGTACATAACCCCCGTTCTGATTTTGGAGACCAAATATCCAGAAGGCAAAATAACTCCACGTTTTTAATTAAGTCCTCTTACATTTTCTAATGTTATGATCAAGTACAGATACACGTATCAGACATTTGCAGCTCAAAAAAAAAAAAAAAAGCTTTTATCAGTGTTGCTACTATGACTCCCATTCACTGGCCCAGCATTACATCCTTTCTCTCATCTTATTTCAGTATTTCCATAAAATAGGTTGCATTATATGTAATCTTTTTGTTCTTTTTGTCCTGAAAACATGGTATAGTTTTTCATAAACACTTACATTTTTTCTGTGAAAGAAGAGCACAACTGTTCATCAGCTTTTGTCTACCATAAATTAAGATGACACGTTTCCTGAAGGTGGACAGATTTTAAAAGGTACAATGAGGTAGCCTTAGCTTCAGGAGCAGGGAGTTCTGCTCCTTCAGAAAAACATCTGTGACAGCTCAGTCCTTCAGATGGAGGCAAGATGCTGCTAATCAGCTAATGATCAGCATTTGGCTTCTTTTGGAGAACGTGTTTGCATACTTTTGATTAAAGCAGAAGTTACAGTGCCATATGCAACTTTACACCAAAACAGCAGTGTGTGCATACCGTGTGCATGCAGCTTTTCTTGTCTGAGCCCTTACTGATTTTCACATTAGCCATTTCAGTGCCAAACCCACCACTGATTACAGTAGTTCAGGATCATAGTTCGGATCTGTGTAATATAAGAAATACACAGTTTGCTGTGCTATTTTGGAGCAGTCATCCATCTTGTCTAATGTCTTATAATAGTCTGTAACAGATGGTTCAACAGGAACATTGAGACGGTGATACAGTGGACAGTAATAAGATAAACTGATGATCAAGGACATTCTGTCCAACTCTAGTCTATGTTTGACATGTTTTCTGAAGCATGAGGTCTTACATACCTCTAAAATATGTTTCATGCCATAGAATGAAGCAGTGAATGTTCTCATTATCAATACAGATCTCATCTTTTTTGAAACCAGCTAAGCTTTTCCTTAGATGAGTTTGCTGCGTAAGGCCCTACAAGGTACTGTAACTGCAGCTTCTGAAACGGCCGAGATAACATTGGCATTTGCATCTTTCCTATACTACAAACTTTCAAATATAGAAAATCTAGCAAAGTAGGTTCATGATTACTATTTTCCCATAGATGCACAACAGCTGCATATTTTGGATGCATTTTTGAACAAAACAAATAGCCATGTTAAAAAAAACTTGTCAAAATGGTGTTAATTAAAAAATGAAGACCAAAGTGTACGTAATGCACAACCTCATAAAAATAATGAATTCATGCAAGCAGTTTATTTCCAAAATTTATGTTTTGTTCAGTTTCAAAATGTCTGTGTTCAGTATTTATATGAACAGTGCATATACAGGAACCGTTTCCCAAAGTGTGATAATACTGATTTGGAGACACAAGAGAAGAAGGAAGAAGCAAGCTAACTTCAGAATCAGAAAAACAACTTGTCAGTGCAGAGCTGGGCTTAGCCTTAGTATGGAGGTTATATGAATGATGGCCTTTATTTGGGAGAGGGTACAAAACAAAATAGCCTACACTTTTGGCATGAACTACTGCAAAAATGTATATTCTTTGAAGAAGTATTTTTAATAATTTTCTGACCTTTAACTTCTTTATGGCTATTTTTTAACATCTAAGGTATATATCCACATTTAGACCATCCGTGAAACGTGAAGTAGAGAAAAATAAAGCTCGGTGGAAAACTATGGGACCAGCAAAAGTTGCAGTGCCATCTCCAAAAAACTTTCTGCAGAAACATTCAAAGGAACCCAAGCTACCAGCAAGTAAGTGTAGACATGAAATATATGAAATGTAATGTATTTTTTTATTTTAAAATTGATAATATTAGTGTTGAAAGTAACAGTTATGGAGAATCACATTTTTTTTAAATTTAAAATAATTTTTGTATGCTGGGGCAGTTTCCATTGTTCCTTTTATAGTATCTATGATACCAAAATTCCTTCTTTATTTTACAAAAATGTTTCGTATTTATTGTGTAAAATACTGAAACACGCAACAAGGAGATTATTTATGTGATTAGAAAATACAGAAAGCATTTACTGTCATGTGGTACAAAACCAGCTGAAACATAAAGAAAAATTATATCTCTTTTGGCTGCAGCTTTTCAGATGTTGAAGATGTGTTGACGGTATGTTCTATCCTGCTGATATTTCAGTTTGCAATTATGTAGTTTAGATTTGTACATCATTCTTTTCTGCAACTGATCATTAATATTAAAGTAAATAATATGAATGGGGGTATTAGAAGTGAAGTAATTGTTTTTAATGCTTGAAGAGATATGGGAAAAGCATGCGTGCCTTTCTTGATGTTATAAGCAACATACAGCTTTTACTCTTCAGCTGTCATTGTTGGCTTTTCATCCTGTAGCATTAAATTGGCTGGCAGTGTTCAAAGCATAGAAGTTTTTGGAGAGCTGCATGTCACAGAAATAAGAAAACTGGAATTTTTTTTGCAAAATTCATCTTATCCTTGGGTACAAACCGTAATTCTAGGTATAAGGAGTTGGCAGTTCTAATGTTCAGCCTCATGGCCGGTTCTGCAAGGGTGGAGTGACCTTCTTAGTGCTGCTGGAGTTCTAAGGACATTGCTGTCAGAATTTGTAATTGAGTTCTAAAGTTTCAGCTTGAAATTGTTTTTAGCCTGGAAAAACAGAAAAGCTTAATGTACAAAAGTTGTCTAAGAGAATGTAGGAGTCCAGCACCCAAATTCGTGTGGCACACTCAAATGGCTTTAGCACTGAAAATACAGGCTGTCCCAGGAGGCTTTGGAGGCTTAATGCTTCAGGCAATATGGATTATTAGAACCTTAAGGTCAGCTTTAGTCCCAGAGGTTCTGTAGGCATCCTGGGTCATTTTTGAATGAAGTCTTCACTTTTTCAGGACATCTGAACAGCGTTCAGTATACTGGCATGTAATACTTCATGACATCCGAGCATGAATGCTTCCAAGCTCAAGACCTTGTTAAATTACCACACTAGTGTTTTAGATGGGCATAGGAAAGAAGGTTGATTCACCAATAAGTCGGAGCAGTCTGTAAGATCCCTTTTAAGTACTTGTATTATAAAATCAATGTTATCTACTTCAAATTTGCTATATATTGAGATAGAGCACTCTGACCCATTTTTCTCAGACAAGTAGCTCACAATATTTCTATTTCAACTTGTTGATTCAGGGCTTCATAATATCAATATATGCTTGGGTGTTTGCATTTGGAGTCAATGTACCAGAGCCTCAAAATGACTATGACACATCATAGCTTTGATCCAGACTAGTAATTTCATTGCCATGATTAGATCCTAACAGATCTTGAGAAGGAACTGTATCATTAACTCAGAAAGTTCTTGTACCTTTCTTGGATGGAATTTCATACCTACCTCAGAGAAGTTACACTGCTCAATCACCTCTTTTAAAGTATGGCACTTTCATCACTTGGAATTTAACCAGTTATCAGTTGTCTAAATGGGATTATGGCATTGTGTTTATGGTATCTATGCCACCTTCAAAACTGGGTTTGATCCAACTAGTTAAAAAATAGATTGCAAGGACAGAGCAGAAAAATTAATTTTTTTTTCTTAAAGTCTGGGATAGTGTCATTCTTTTAGATTCTGATTACTCACCACTTTCTTACAAAAGGTATGTTTCCTAACCTTTGGCTGAATCTTGCAGTTTTACTGGACTCCGGCATTCGTTTTAACCAAATTTGTTTGCTGGCTCTAGAAGAAGTGGGGGCTCCCAAAACAGCACGTGTGCACCAGTGTACTGCCGATAAGGGTGAGCCAGTGCTCACTGAGAAGCTTCAGAGATCTTGTTTCCAAAAGGACATCCTAAGAGAAACAGAGATTTAAGTCTGTGTGTCCTACGGTACTAAGTTATGGCAAGCTATCAGGTTGTAAAAAACAAAACCCAGGAAAGCACTGGTTTGTGGGGTCAGTATCAGGAAACCCGCTGTTGTAGGAATGAGCTCTGTCACTTGTGACATTACACTTATTTTCTGCCAAAGAACATCGTGAACTCAGACAACCTGAATCAAATCATTGTCTCTGATAATGACTGTGAGTTAGAATTCTATCTCATGGGAAATATGGTGGGAAATGAATTGTCTTTCGTCATGCACCTGAAGGGAGACTACTCAGGAGACTACTGACTTTCTGTTGGTGCCTTGGAGAAAAGATTACACTAACAAGGAAGAGTTTCTATATTCTCTGGAGAAAGGATTGTGAGAAGCTGTTTATGAGCGTTAGGGAGCAGCAAGAGCAGGGCTTTTCCCTAAGGAGAGGTGAGCCAGAAATTGAGAGCAACGACAATGCAGGCTGGGCAATGACCTCACCAACAGGGTGCAGTCCCACCACACCAGAGGCAGGCAAGCAGAGTGGGGTGGTGATGAAAACGTGTCCTATCAATGGCCTAATGACCATCAGGCAAGATGGGGTAATGGGCCAGGTCCATCCACTGATTCCACCTAGCTCTTCAGGAATAGGACTAGGGGCAGGCGTGGCTGAGACAGCTCAGCCGGGCACTGACAGCCCAGGGCTAAGCTGAAATGGGGCTCCTGAGCCCAAGGGTGTGGGGTGGATGCCCCAGGTGCAACCGGGCAGGGCCATTAATGCCTAAGGGCCCTGACAATGAGCATCTCTAGCAAAAGTAGTTTTAGTTACATTTGAAAAAAGTCCTGTACTGCTGCAGTTAAGAGGAAATGAGTGGCATATTATAAGGAAAAAAACAACACAGTATTTCCTAGGTTATGAAACTTCTGTTATGCCAAACAAGCATACTCATTTTCATCCTAGTACTTTCCCAGTCAATTCTTTCATTGTAGATACAGTTGGTTTCTATTTTTATGTAATTTCGTACATAATTTTTTCCTTTTGAAAAATGTAATAACATTAAATTGCAAAACTCTTCATGGTTATCACTGAGAATTTTTACATGCTCAATTCACAGGAAAAAAAGAACAGGATAGTAAGAAATTGCCTGCATTATCAGTGCCACGGAGGACAGATCACCCAGTTATGGGAATTCAGAGTAAAAAGAATTTTATAAATACAAATGCAGTTGCTGCTATCACAGGATCGCCTAAAAAGCCTCAACCTATTTATGTTGATAGAAGACAGGGAGATAAATATCTGCTTGAAACTTCAGGACTTGTTCCAAAATATATTAAAAAAAAGGTAAGTTTTATTAAATTATAGTGCAAATACTAGTAGCAATGCCTATTTTAGGTTCTCTATTGCATTCTCCTATGAGATGTTTATGATTCTTTTTGAGATGTTTAGATACCACTGCTGTTTGTGGTAGACCTTTGAAATTCATCAAGGAGAAATCACTGGCACTAGAGTTGTGCCTTGCCTTTGCTCTGTATTCACTTGCTTATGCTGTCAGCAAAAAATTGGCAGAATGATGCTGCTAAAGCAATAGCATATGTGTTGCATTGGGAACCCAGGGAGTATCTAATGGGGAGACAAATGGAGTTCTGTGATGAATGAATGCTGGCTCTTTCGGAAAGACGGGCAGGGAAGCAGAGGAGGGGTTGCCCTTTGGTTGAAGGAGCTGTTCAAATATATGGAGCTCTTCTATGGAATTGGCAACAGGCTGGTTGAGCTTGTGGGTCAGGATCAGAGGAAAGGCCAGTAAGTGTCAAAAGTGTGTTTGCTATGGACTATCCAATCAGGTGAGGAACTGGATGAAATCTCTTTAAGCAACTTGAGGAAATCTTCAGATCACAGTGCAGCTTCTTATGGAAGACTTCACCCTCCTTGGTATCTGCTGAAAGGACAACACAATGGGATGAAAGCAATCCAAAAAGGTTCCTGGAGCATGTCAGCAACAGCTTCTTAACAGAGATGGTGGATGAGCCAATCAGTGGTCATACTTTTCTGGTTCTGCCACTTACAAATGAGAAAGAACTGTTCAGAGGTGGGATAACCAATAGTAGTCTTGGTTGCACAGGCCACGAAGTAGTTCAAGATCCCCTCCTCTTTGGGGAAGCAGGTAGTAGTGTACAGACCCTGTACTTCAGGAGAGCAAACATCAGCTTATTCCAGGGAACTAGTGTGTAGGACCCTGTGGGAGACAGCTCTGAAAAGCAAAGGAGCTTACGAGAGCTGGCATGCCTTTAAGGACAACTTCCTTCAAGCACAAGAAGAGTCCATTCCACTACTCAGGATAACAAGGTGTATCAGGAGTCTGGCTTATCTAAACAAGTAATTCATGACAGAGCATTATGCAGAAAGAGACACGACGTGATAAAACTCATGGCAGAGAAGATGCAAAAAAGGGAACCTGCAGCCCTTGCAGTACCTTTGCACGACTAAACATATAAATATAAACAATGCTAGTCATAGTGCTACCCAACACTAAAAGATTTGTGAATCATTTAGGATTTGGTAGAAAGAAGGTAGATGCTGTTACCTTCTGGCAGAGCTAGATAGGCTTCATTTTACAAAGGATAAGGCAAAATAGATGTGTTCCCCCCAAGTACATCTGGGATATTCAGAAATTATTTTTCCTCCCAGAAGCACAATTCTGCCACATCCAGTATGGGATAGTTTATCATTCCTAACTAGTTCAATTTTCGTGTATGTGTTAACAGTATTCACTCTCTTGCAATGTTCAGCAAAAATCAGGACAGAGGAAGATCTTTCAAAGAAAGTATCTAAGGACTGTGTTTCAGAACGTAGAATCTGACACCATATAAAAATGTAAAATAGCTTGCTGTCATTAACAGGTTTCAAACTCCTCACTCAACCATCAGTTCTTATAATTAGACGTTTTGGTTTCTGGATTCTGTTGTCTTCCAAGGTTGCAAAAAGAAATTGAAGGGAATTGTTTATGCGTTTTGCTCAGGCTACAAAGACAATCACGTTTGATACTTCTAAGAACATAGTGATTTAAGGTTTTATTGCTCGGTGGCAGAAAATTCCATTTCAAGCTGTCTTTGCAAATGTAATATACTATGGATGGCAGGTATGTCTTTGTTTCCTTCTTAAAAGCACGTATAAGAAACTTCATCCTTACCCTTATAGGATTATGGTGTTACACCAAAATATGTAACACAGAGAAATGAAGAAATGAAGAGAGCTCAGAAAGAATATGAGGCTGGTATCTTGGAGCATCTCAAGAAAAGAGCCATGAAACAGCTATCTGATGAAGAAAGGAGAAGTCTTCTGCAGGTGCATATTTTGATTTAGTGTAATTAGTAACATGTACAAAAGATTAATAAGGTAATGTAAGTCCATATAAATAATAAAAGTATACTAGATTTTTAAGCGAGGCAAATGAGTTGGCTACTTTTTCACTAGATGGAGCTGTAGAACAGTTGTAAACTGAACTGAAGGGAGCTGATTTAGCTACAGTTTTAGTCCAGTTTTACAAGTAGTTCAATTCTGTTAGATTCCTATTCCCCTTAATGACATGGAATTTCAGTGAAACTTCAAAGGAATGCAGAAAATCACCTGTATGGATTTAGTGACAGTTGTGACTCTCTACTTGTGAATCATGGAGAAATACAAATTGATTGTTGGGTTTTTTTTTCCCCCTGATGCATAACATTACCACTTTTATTGGCAGTTTCTATCTTCACATTGTGACCTCACCGACTAAAGCATAAGGTCATGCTTTAAAATGTGGCGAAAACAGAATTAAACTGCAATATATTTGTAGAACTATGACTGGAAAAATTGTATTTTGTCAAGCTGTTTTGGATACTGTCTTTCATACAGTTTTTATTGCACAAGATTTTCTAAAGAGAAATAATACCATAAAAGAAGTGGAGCGGAAAAGAGACATTTTAAAAGTATATCCAATCCTTGAACTGGAATTTCTCGTGACCACATTTTAGCCAAATTTCCTATGAAAATGAGGCTTACATTACTGTGATATCTGTTTATCAGTCTGTCCCTTAAAAACTTGATCTTCTCAGCCACTGAAACAAATTAGCAGATGGATGGACATCTCCAAGATGCTAAATTCCCACAAAAAAGCCAACAGAATATCTAGTGAGAAAACACCGTGTCTAACTCACTTGCAAAGGTTAACTGGTTAATCAGCATGATCCAAATAGCTAGCACAACGGTGTCTCTTGCTTATGCAGCAAGCAGTAGAAGCTAGGAAGGAGTACGGGAGAGAGGTGAGGGTATTGCATTGACAGCAATATAAAGAACATAACAGCAAGGGTGAAGATTAAGATACCTTTATGGTGGGAAAGGCATGGGACAAGCTGATGGTCCAGCAAGTTAACCATGCAGCAAAAATATATGTGCAAAAAGGTGTGTGAGTTCAGCTGCTCACAGTTCTGCATTTAGTTTGATTAGAATAATGTTCTGTATTTTTTAAATCCAAGAGTGCACTGAAATATTTTTTAACTGAAAAGTTTTTAGATTGTTTTTATTAACTCAGTATTTTCTTTTAAATTTTTCAAAAAAGTTTGCTCTTTCATGGGCCAGATTGCTTATACAGTTATATTGTCAGGAGGAATTAGTGTCCCCAGGGTATGTGGCTTCTGCCCAGTGCTCAGCTGTGGACATATGGGAATTCCTGTCTTTTAAAATAATTGACATTGCTAGTGAACACATGTGCACTATCTGATTTGAAAGAATATGTGGCAATAGATGTCTGAGAACAAAATCAAGCCTCATGAACTTACAAAAATAACGGGAAATAATTTGTGCCAACATTTTTTGAACTCTCTCTCCATTATGCTTACTTTGGTTGGAATTTTAGGAGAATAAAAGTGTATGTTGATAAATGCAGTACATATTTCTCACTGATCCAGCATGTATTAGAATTCCTTATATAGAGTTAGATACTCAGTTTGTGATCTAGCCCATAGCAATAGCGGTCAGCATATTACATGGCTGTCGGAGGAGCTGTGAGGGAGATTTTTATGTAGGGAGTCATGATCTGCTTTTGATCTCTCCACTCTGTAGGGATACAGTAAATTGTGATGAGTGCATGCTCTAATGTGTTTTAAAACTCACTGGTTTCAATGATTTCCAAACCAGTTTTTACTAATGTACACAAAGAAGAATTATTTAAAAGAAGCTATGAATGACTATTCTATGAAAGTTTTGGAAATACTGTGTTTATTTCCATGGCTATATATTTATAAACTATACCTTACACCTGGTAGACTAGGAGCTTTATTTAAGTACTTTACAGCCTTGGATTGCAAAGACAAGTAGCATTACAAGACAGTAAATAAATAGGCTTGTTGCTCTTAGTTTCACATGTTGAGGTAGGGTTTTTTAATTTATGTAGATATTTGTGTATGAAGATTGTTGGAATAACCTTTATGGACAATACTTAGATGCTTAATAGAAATACGCAAAAGCACGAATTGCTATGCAATAAATACACTGCTTTGAATCAGTAAAATATTAGTTCATATTAAAAAGTGTGTTTTTCTTAGTCAGTATTGGCAGGGAGAGGTCATTTTTTTCTGTTAAATCAATTCATACAGTGGACAAAATTAGACAAGTTTTTAAGCACAAGAGTCCTTGAGTTCTGAAATAGAAGCAACGATCTTCAAAGCTAAATATGTATTAAGAATAATTCCTCTAAATTTAACTTCAGTGTGTTAATCAATTAGCTAGTCTGGGAGAAAAGGTGCTTGACAATAGTGGAGAAGAAGGACATGAGGATGGAAATCACAACGTGCCATAAAATCAGTGTGTCAGCTGAATCCGGTTTTAGTTAAGGAGGAAAACTTTAGTTCCCAAGAGAGTAACTGCAATTCTTCATTTTTGAGGATACTTTCTGATTACTTTTTCCTTATACTAAGGAAACAGAACCGAGAGGCAAAAACATTTTGGAAAAGTGTTTTCTCACTGATAGCCATATTGTATTATTTACTGATTGCTGTATGAGTTCCTTGTAGTAGGTGTGATTATTAAGTTCACCCATATAGTTTTCATGAGGATGTTTGATGCGCTGAATAAACTCTACTAAATCCTCACATATGCATGTGTAGGACGTGTAGATTTTGATTATCCTCTTAAGGAGACAAAGTAAGAACAATTGTTGCAGTAATAGTGAGGATGTAAAGACAAGTTTTAAATTTTATTTTTCTACCACAGTCTGGTTCCATTCAGCATATATTGGTGGATAAAAGATTGTCTCCAATATTGAATTAACAGGTTTATAAGTACATTTCAGTTGATTGCATGGGTTTTTTTAGGCAGAGTTTTAGTCTTGGGCTTTTAATATGGAAGATACAGTTCACTTTATCTAGTAAGGTAATCCTTTGCATAGCAGCATTCAAGAGAGGTAGCAGTTATTATTGAAATTATTGTTGATAGGGTCAGTGACAGCTAGGTTTTTTAGTCCAAGTGATAAATAAATTGCCTATAGATGTTATTGTAAATGTAGATTAGGAAGGGAATGCAATTATTTAGAATTTTTTCAAAGTAGTTCATAGAAGTTAAAATATTGTGGGATTAGTTTGGTGTCCATGGTCTGAGCAAAGTCTCAGTTATGGAAAATGAAGCTGGTGGTGAGATGAACTGAAACCGCCGCTGAGTTTGGCTGGAGTTCCAAGTATTGGTACTCGTGTGATTACTTAGGGTAGGTAACACCACTGTGTGTGACGTCATGATATCTGTGGTAGCCAGGTTGCTGTTTATGGGGAAGTGGTTTCTGTAGTGCAGTTTGTAAGATATTTCCTGTTGCATTTTGGAGAAAAGAAACCATTTGAGTGATACGAGTTTTGAGGCAGCTTTTATGAATCCTAGTAGTTCCTCAGTGAGCATACTAGCATTAGATACAATGGAGCAAAGTTGCCTACCTGTGGATCATTGAAAGCATAGAAAGTCTCTTATACAGAATAAGGAAGAGTCACTTCATTTACCTTGTGCAGTTTTTCTTGAAGATACTGAGGACTGGAAATGAAGTGTACAGGCTTCCTTGAGTTCCTGGTAGGCTAGAGAGTTCACTGTTAGTCACATTGACATACTTTTTTTTCAGTTTAGCATTTTTGTAGCTCATCCCTCATTGACTAGTTTAATTATTGTTTTGTTGCTTCTTAAAGTCTGTAATTTTTTGTCTCCAAGGCATGGAGTTTTTTAAAGACCATTCCTTACATTGCATCAGAATGAGTCAAAATTATTTCTGTTGCAACTACTTTGACTTTTAAGCATTTAATTAATTTTGTCCAATTAAGATGATTAAACATTATCCATATGTTTATCTATTATTTTAACATTGCAGTGACACTTAGCAAATGCAATATTAACAAAAAACCCTAAGTAGTTTATGCGTATATTATTCTTAATGAAGTAAGTTTTTCTCATATATTTCCTTTTCATGTAATGGCACTAGGGGCTGAAAAAGAACTGGGAGGAAGTGTATCGTGAATTTCAGGGTCTTTCGGTAGAAATAGACACCATACCCAAGAAGATATATAAAGAAAAGCTGGAATCACAGATGAAACAACTGGAGCATGACATAGAAGTAATTGAGAAGCACAAAGTTATCTACATCGCAAATGAGTAAGGACTGTTTTTCAGATGTTGCCTCTTTCCTCCTTTTCGTTTTCTGTATCCCTTCATCTCCAAGAACCACCCCCCTAAATTCTCAGAAGAAATTGACACCACCAACTATTCAGAAGGAAATATTCAACTAATATCAGTATGTAGCTTCTTAGAAAAGTTGTTACCTATAGCTCTCATCTGTATAATTCACAAACGTTTTGAAATAAAATTCTTAATTAAACTTTGAGTATAAAACCATGAATTTAATCTATTATTCTTTGTAATTTTTATTAACTACTAAGATTTCTATAAACATCATACAAAAAGTATAAAAAATACTGTTTCGTATGTTTGGAGCACTTCTTTCCTTGCATAGCCAAAACAAAATGAAATAATTGGCTGCTGAAGACAGCTTGGTAAATATAACTTCAGGGTGGGATGGCTTCTGGACTAGTTATTAAAGAGCTGTTGCGCTTTTTACTTAAAAGCTTGAGCGTTTGTATTGCTAAACAGCTTGGCTTCTGCATAACATTTTGTGTACTCATTTTTTGTTACCAAAAACAATTTTCATAGTGGAAGCCCATAATAATATAGACTTCATGCAATACAGATACCATATGTAGCTTGCTCTGTGTGTTAACGTATAATGTATAAATAATTCTGTAATACCATAGTAAATCTACAACTAAAGTAGAAAAATGTGTTTTGATTGCTATTATGTGTGTAATGTTAGAATGAAAGCAATATACTAGCATGTGAGTCAAGACCTAGGCAGAAATTATATCAGTATGCTATACTGCAATTATTTGCATAAAAAGAAAAATTGTTTTTCTTTCCTACTGCTTAACCTTTGCTTCAGAACACAGCTTTTTTGTATGGTATCAATCATTACCAACAGCAGCTGTTGTGACGTCATAGTATCTGACATCAGCAGAGGATGAAGTAAAAAATTTCAAATGAACTATTAAAAGCCAAATTTTCACGTACATTAAGTTCTTTTCATAAATTTGTCGGGGAATGGCTTTGAAGACTTCACAGTGATTCTAGGCTATATTTCTTGTGCATCTTAAACTTGTCTATGACATGC